ACGCCACTCCGTCACTGCGGACTTATAGGTAAATATGTTTGTATTCCTCTCGAGTTATCGTACTTGTTATGATTGCAATATTTGACGATGAACTTATATAAACTTACCTGTACTTACTTGTATTATATTGCACGTATTGATGATTTACGTTTTCGTATTTCTTTCGCTTAAATCGTACTTGTTAGTAATGCGTAGTAATATTTGACGCGATGAAACTCACTTCCACTGACTTGAATTATAGTATACGTATTAATAATTTTGCATGAGTATGTGTATGGTATAAACTGTACATAATAAAACTTTACGTCATACCGTCACTGCGGACTTATAGACTTATAGATTGATTTGAGGACCGTGCAACGGGCATTCATCGAGTTAACCCCCAGCGAACAGACGTATCACAGTACAACACTAGCATGCTAGGTGAAATAATCCACTATTGCGGACATTTAATCAATGCGCGTCACACAATTATGAGATTAATTCAATTACGGGATGAAATTATGTCATGAAATAATGAAATTAATCGTTTTTAAATCTTTAAACCATCAGTATTCGCAAGTAATGTGCGACCTTTACTACGAACAGGATTTTTGTTAATTTATACGAGTGTAAATAATATAATTAAAGTTGAAACAGAATCTTAAATGTGAAAAGTCGTTAGAGGAGTACAAATTTTTCTCTTTGTCAGTAGAAAAAGAAACTTATAATTTTTCTCACCGAAAGCAATGAGCAACAGTCCCTATACACCCTCTTAGTCACTGCATTTACCACTGCTGCTTCACTGCTGCTTCTAATGGTGTTGTTGTTGTTGTTGTTGTTGTTGTTGTTGTTGTTGTTGTTGTTGATGATGATGATGAGGATGATGATGATGATGACGATGATGATGATGATATTGTTGTTGGTCCACGACAGGATCGTAACCGTGGGTTAAGTAGAGGGGCGGCACGGAGTCAATTGCCAACTAGACAAATGTAGTTAAATTTGGGAAACTCATACGTATAATTGGCAGGTACATAAACAAATAGCTCAAAGTGAGAGGGGATGAGGAAGGAAGAGCATTACGGAGTAGCCGGCATAGTGTGAAAGAGGGGGCTGGAGGAGGAACAGGTAGAGAAAGAGGTGGCGAGAACGGGCGGGGCACGAATGCGTATTATGTGCGCAAATACTCATTTTGTACATCGCTGGGATGAAAAAGTTTTAGCTTAAAAACGGTCATCCACCTGGTGGTCATCCACCGTACTATTTATTGTCGTGGGCGATAACATGAGCGAGGGGATGAGGAAGGAAACGAAGGAATAGAGAAACACCAAGAGAGGGGGCGAGACTGAGTGGAAGAGACGGAGAGGGAAGTGAGGAAAGTACAAAGGAGATAGTAAAAGAACGAGTAAGAGAGGAATAGCGAAAGAGAATGCGAGAGAAGAGGAGGCGAGATGGGGAAAGAAATTTCTCGTCTCCAATGTACTAGCGGGTATATGTGACTATAATACGCGTGCATGTGTGTGTGTGCTTGCGTGTGTGTATGCTCTTCTACTCCCTTCCTCCCGTCCTTCCTTCCTCTCATCCTCCCTCACTTCTCTCGCTATCTATCTCGTTGCATCTCAAGTTTATCGCTGCCTATCCCCTTTCGCCCTCCCTTGTCCCCCGTTCTCTTTCTCCCCCTCTCGCGGATGGTTTGGCAAGAGAGGAACAGAGAAAGAAAAGGCGAGAGAAGAGAAGGGGAGATGGGGGAAAGAAATTCCCCGTCTCCAATGTACTATGTGGGTATATGTGCCTATAATACGCGCGCGTGCGTGTGCGCGTGAGTGCATGTGTGCGCGTGTGTGTGTACCTCTCCCACTACTTCTCTCCCTCCCCTGTCCCTCGTTCTCTTCCTCATCCCTCTTGGCGGGAGGTAATCCCGCGACACTCAGTATCACGGACAAATCTTTCATCAAGCAGCAAGCCGATTTATGCGCCCAATAACGATTTTCGCGACCTTGAAACACTTAAATGTGAATTGAGGTACTAATACTGCTGTATTTACGGAGACACAAAGCACACGAACACAAAACTCAACCGCACGCGCCACTCGCAGCATGTCGCACGCACGCACGAATGGTAGTTTTTGTGTAAATACTCATTTTTACATGCGCGGGGCCGAAAAAGTTTAGCTTGAAAACGGCCAGCCTCCTGGTGGCTCAGTCCACCGTACTATTTAATGTCGTGGGCGATATTATGAGCAAAGGGGGTGAGGAAGCGACAGATGGGGATAGAGAGGACACCGCGAGAGAGGGCGACACGTTGTGAAAGAGAAGAGACAGAGAGAGAATGGAGGAAATGAAACAGGTGCATGTTAGTTAAAGAAAAAGGACGAAAGGAATAGTGAAAGAGAAGGCGAGAGAAGAGAGGAGAGATGGGGGATAGAAATATCGCGTCGCTAATGTACTATGTGGGTATATGTGCATATAATACGCGTGCGTGCGTGTGTGCGTGCGGGCTTGTGTGCGTGTATCTCTCCCACTCCCTTCCTCCCATCCTATCCCCCCTCTCTCTCTCTCTATATATATATATATCTCTTTTGTATCTCGGCTTTCCCTCTGCCTACCCTCTCGCCTCGCTTGCATCGTTTCTCTTCATCCCGCCCTCTCGCGATGTATCGCTAAGAGTAGGAACAGAGAAAGAGCAAACCGAGAGAAGAGGAGAGATGGGAAACGAAATTTCACGTCTCCAGTGTACTATGTGGGTATATGTGCCTAGAATACGCGTGCATGCGTGTGTGCGTGCGTGTATGTGTGCGTGCGTGGATCTCTCTCACTACCTTCCTCCCATCCTTCCTCCCCCCTCTCTCTCTCTATCTATCTCTTTGTATCTCGACATTCCCTCTACCTACCTCTTTCTCTCTCCTATCGAGGGAGAGAAAGAGAGGGAAATAGATAGAGAGGAATTTCTCGCCCGTAATGTAATATGGTCTCTGTCCTTCCATGCAAAAAGGCTCATTTTAGATCGCAAATCGTCTTGCAAATTTCCTAAATTAATCATGAGCTGTCCTTGCATGCTCCCTTCGTTGGGCTAGCTAATGAGACCGAGCCTGACAAAGAGAATAATAATATGTCTGCAGCAAAATTTTAAGGACTTACATTAAAGCTCCTTAGTAGGGATTGAAAGCTTATGTTTTACAGATTTTACAGAGTAGAAGGCAGGAGTTAGTGAGGGAGTGTTCGCGGGTTTACAGGTGACCCAACCCATCGCTTGGATCAACCTCCAGTAAATCAATCTGCAATTATTTACAACATATTATAATCGTCACGTCCACGCCTATTGTGAGCTTGTCTCAAGTTATGGGTTAGCTTATACCGCAAACTTTCTCTCTAGCATGCTTTCATATTACCAGCGTTTGATACGTTTGGGGTCATTTCAAGCCATCACCCCATCTAGACTTTAGTGATAGAGACAGCCATTTGAGTGAAGATGAACACACTAAAATGCGTTGCAAAATTAAAGGGGATTGCAGAACCTCGCTCATTCCCTTATCTGCGAATATAGGGTTAACCCCCCTCAGCGCATTTCTCAATCGGCACATGACATATTCATCTCGCAGCCCTCCCCTCCCTCCTCTCCTTCCCTGCTCTCTCTATCTCGCACGTTCGCCCTTCTCCTCATACTTTCCCACGTCTCCCCTGTCCTATTTTGAGAGAGGCTGCGCGCCTGACAGACAGAGAGGGGGAGAGCGCGGATGTGTGTACATACACGCGGCGTGCGCGCATGCGCGTGCGTGCATGCGGCGCACGTATCGTTGAAGCGGTTCGACGTAAAACTTCAACGGCGGAAGTCAAAGAACATAATACCGTATATTCTTAGTTAAGTACCAGTTGGAAATCACCTGCCAGTAAATGATGTTATTTACTTCACGTACCCTATCGAAAGTTTTCACGAAACGCGCACAGGCGCGTATATGCCATATGTTTTTCCCTAGCTTACGCTGAATTTATAGTAAGTAGAACCCTGCAGAATACACAAACGACTGCATAGATTACCGTGTTTCATTCGACTATATATCTCATCTACAGTATAATCACGGCGTGGAAATCACAGTTGATTCTGTTGTTCGTAGAACTATCGCCACATATACCTCGTATTTATCCACAATTTGCACTTTTTCATTATCAGTGCACGTTTCTGTTGAGGCCGTTGTTTTTCGAAATCGAATGACGAAGTTACGATGGGGGAGTGGGTGTACTCAATCTACATTAACTCTTTCTGAAACCCGCCTTCTCCCCGTCTCTCTCTCGCTCTCGCTCTCGCTCTCTCTCTCTCGCTCTCGCTCTCTCTCTCTCGCTCTCGCTCTCTCTCTCTATGTCTGTCTGACTCTCCATCTCTTTCGTTTAAAAAAACACATTTCCTCGGAAACTGGATGAGCTTGACGATGAAATACAACATATACAAAATAAGAGCAATTTTTCGATGAATTAATATGAGCTCCGGTTATCTGCTACACGATGAAATTAGTTTAGCATGTCAAAGGCATTCGCTATCGAACGAATCACAATCGATCACAACGCACGAACCAAGTCAATAACCAGTACAATATACGGACCAATAGACGGTTCGCTAGCATTGTAGGCTGATAAATTTCTCCCGGGGTGATATCTTTCTCCTCGGGTGATATCTTTCTCGTGAAGTGACAACTTTCTCCTGGGGTGATATCTTTGCCCTAGGGTGATATCCTTCTCCTAGGGTGATAACTTTCTCGTGGTTGCTATCTTTCTCGTCGAGTGATAAATAATCTTGCTCGCATTGTGATATCTTTCTTGTAGGGTGATATCTTTTGTAGAAATGTATTACTGATTTCGCGGTAGTAATTTTACTAAAGCAAAATTAATTGCTTACATTTTAGAGTTAGGTGGGTACATTTGTTAATAACGCGGATTTTAACGTACCTTGAAATTATGATCAGTTCATGCTATAAGATATCATGTTACACGGGCAAAAATAAATTCAAATTAATATACATAATAATATTGTTTGTTTTATCTCTATAATAAAGGATTTATTACTCGTGATTATAACAAATTCGCGTTTCACGTTTCAACGAAATGGTTTCGCTCGCCCTTGGTTACCGGTACATTTGATAACAGATAGACCCAGAGAATAATACACGTAGCTTACCTAATCAATCACCAGAGAATATATGGAGCGAGAGAACTAGACAGAACGATTTAGACAGAATTTAGTCATAAATTTTTTTGATCTACATTCATACATCCTTCGGTACACCAACACATCACCATTTTCACCCCTTGAAAAATCGTCACAGCATCGTTTGGTCACGTATTCGTCTTACCCACCCTGCGTCGCATCTAGATGCCTTTTTGTCACGTTGTCGAACTTAAATACTCACGTGTGCGTGTGTGTCAAACGTGTTGTGTCAAATGTCAACCACGCGACTATGCATCTCAGCACGTAAGATCACGAAGAGGGCAAATGTTCACTAGCACTGTGGTAAGCTGGTTACTATCGTATATAGTACGAGAAAAAACTAAGCTATTTCTAGCAGTGACCCGCCGCCAGGAATTAAGCTTATAAAACAGTATCGGTCAACTCTCGTCATCACAGATCAAAAATACACAGCTAGCTTAGCAGTTTAGTTCACAGACACTCGGCGATCGTCATGCAACAGCAACGGCATTTCTACTTCACATACTTAATTCGTATTTAACATAATTAATTCGTGAATTTACGTCAGCGGCTGACTGCCGACTGCGTGATAGTTACCTCTCATCGGCGTGCTTGCGTTAATAAGGCGCGAGTACGCGTAAAATACGAAAAATATCGCGATTCATTTCACGCGGTGCTATCTGCATGCACCAGCATCAGAATAAATTCATAGGTTAGCAATGTATACCCGCACCTGTTAAATTGCATCATCGCTAATTTTCAATTACGACACGTTGTAAAAAAATCATGCATTATACATAGGCGAGATAAAGTAGTATATACATACGACTACCCTCCATATGCTGCCGAATCAAATTCAGGTCGCATTACTGGAAACAACAGAACGTTTTGATTGAATAGTTTTTTTTTTTCAAAGATATTTGCCATTATCAATATGGATCATCTCAGGAAACTAACAGTGAATGCCAGTACAATGAATAATAATGAAGAGTAAATCATACAACTATCAAACGTTCCAGCATTTTTCATGCTCTCTCCACATACGGATTACTATTTAAATGAAATAATATATACCTTGTTCTAACATTTCAGAAGTACATGGTGCGACAAATTACTAACAGAAACACGAGTCACGAACACATAGAACATGACGGAGACAAATTCAAGTTAAATGTCACGATTTTCGTACAATAACTTCAAGATAAAAAAAAAAATTACCGGTATATAAAATTCAACAACTGAACGCACGATTTGATATGCTACATCCGCCATATTCCGTCGTAATAAGCCGCCTCTTCACCGCACCATTAGCCGATCATTCCCGGATGCTCTCGGGAAATTTTCTTTAGCGATCAAGAATGCCCGCGCAGATAATCAGCTTTGCGGAGTGATACGACTATGCGCCGCTGCGTACAAAACAGCATGAAGATCCAATTGCGCCGACGGAAAGCCCACTGTTTTCATCTCAAAGTCTGGTTTTAGAGTTGCCAGGAATATCGAACATCAGAGATCGCGGTTATCACCCTCCCTCTCTCACACACTAATAAGTAATCGCCGCCGACACTGACACCAACGCGTGCGCGGCGTGACGTCGTTTCTGTTCGATCGCGACGCGCACCGCCCCCGCATTGCCACGGCGACGCACGATGCCGGAGACGTCACAGTCGCCGTCAACTACGCAAAGAGAAACGAAAAAAACCTCGCTCCCCGAGAAAAGATCGTCGTCCCCGATTGGCTCAATTGCTCCCGCCCCGAGGGAACTCGTCATTGCTCTACCGGTCTGCTGGACGTGGGCGGGGGACGGGGGAGGCAGGGCGTGGGACGACCGAACACGACATTGGTTTCTAATCGCTCAGTAACTCGACGTAGTTAGCAGGAAACAGGCCGACCTTGCCGCGGCACTCTCCCCTCCACCAGCCGGCATCAATCTGCGGAAAAACGAATCGCACGGAAAATAAATTTACAATGCGATGTCACGAGCGCGTAACACAAGTGTATTGTAAACCCATATCAATCAACCAATCAAGAGCATGTGAGGGTTTATATGCTCTCACTAATATTATATATGATTATTTATAATATATTTATAATATCAATTAATATATAATTCAAAACCTGAATTAAAACTCAAGAGAATAAATTAATAAATGGTATTTGAAATTGATACAACCAGTAATTAAGCCTGTTTGCACGGTTACATAAGTGTTAGCTCGGACAGCAAGGCTTCTAGCACATACGTCAGGCAGAATCTTTTTTGCGAGTGTGTTTAAATTCATAGTGTCATTCAGGCATTCAATCAATTCATCAGTAATTTATCACTGTCACTCCTCGCAACACATATGCAGTATATATATATATATCCTAGCAGTGCCAAATGTCTATCTACATCTTGTTTTCACACGTAATTAGCACTAAACAGTGTCACTGGATAGCTAATCATCGGCGATAAACTTATTTAAGCCTTTAATATGTTATCATTCAATGCACAAGTAAATCTAACAAAGCTAGGCTTGGCAATAGTAATCCCCTAGCGCACGCTGCACAGGCACTACGCGTACATGATTTTCGGCGAGTTCTTTCGTGAATCTGCCTTAACGAAGGTGATTTGAAACCGCTTGTCATCGCGTCAAAACCATTGTTTTCCTCATTATTAAGAACACTGCCACAAATAAGCACATGACACGATAGTGTTACAGTGCATTGAAAGCTTACAACTGTACAATTTCTGTAGTATGTTTAAGCTTGCCTTTTTTATGCCTTGGCTTGCGAGTACAGTATCTTCGATTGCAAACTCATACGAGGGATTGTAACTTTTATATGAAGCTTTACAAAAATACGTTTGAAAGTAAATTCGTTGGACGAATAACAAACGGTGGACGTTCATACACATGGGCAGAACCACATACACACTCCTAGCAACTTCGTTGCAATGGCATAATGAGCAGTTTTTCATCAACTTCATCATTAAGTGTGCAGGCGTAAAGGATGAACCGAGTAAAGGTTCACCGAGTAAAGGTTCAGTGCATAGTTGCAACTGATTACCTAACCCTACATGTACCCACTCGAGTATCACCTATGAAAGCACCTCCCTTAAGTTTTAAGAGTAGGCCGTGGTAGAGCTAGAGTCGTATAGCAGAGTCGACGTGTGCTAGCAGAGCTACTAAGTAACACATTAGAGACGAGCACTTGCGAGCAATTATTGCCGCTAACGTCGGCGCGCGCGCGGCTGCGACCGACAAACAGTCGTAAATTATTTCACGGCAGGTTTCGTCAGCTTTTTCACCTAAACTGCTGGTCTCAGTCAGCAGGTGTGACTGGCTGCCACTGGAGATGCCAGTTATATGTGAGGTGGGAGTAAATCTCTTCCCCCCTCTACCCCCCTCTCTCCCTCCCTCTCCCTCCCTCTCTCGCTCTCCCTTCCTCTCCCCGCTCTTCTCTCCCACGGCTGCAATCGCTCGTTGTCTCAGATAATCGCCAGGTGGCGCAAACATCTACATCACCTGTTCGATGTTCGTGATGATTTCTTCCGGATCGAACGACAGTTCGTCGTCGTCTGCCGCTTGGTAATCGTAGATGGCCACCGCACGCAGCAGCCCGGCATCGCCTGCCTGCACCGCATCTGAAACCGACGAGAGATGGCATCAGTCTAGCTGGCAGACAGACGGGATAAGGAGGGGACGGGAGCGGAGAGAAGGGAGGGGACGGGAGCACAGGGGAGGGAGAGACGGGAGCGGAGGGGAGGGAGGGGATGGGAGCGCAGGGGAGGGAGGGACGGGAGCGGAGGGGAGGGAGGGACGGACAGCGGAGGGAAGGAAGGACGCGAGCAGACGGGCAGGAGGACGGAAGCGGAGGGGAGATTAAGATGGCTGAGTCGGGAGGGAGGGACGGGAGTGGAGGAGAGGGAGACGGGACTGAGGGAAGAAACGCGCGAAGCAGAGGCGGAGGAGGCGACGACGGAGGACAGGCAGAGTGACGGCAAAGCCAATGGGAGGGAGTGACGGAGCGCAAGGAGGACCAGTGACGGAAGCAAGGAGGTAAAGCATGGGAGCCTCGGGGGAGGGAGAGGACGAGCAGAAGTGGAGGGGAGTGGGGGACGGGAAGCGAGGAGAGGAGAGGGGAGCGGGGAGGGCGGACGGAGCGCGGGGGAGGAAGACGGGGCGGAGGAAGGGTAAGACGGAGCGGAGGGGGAAGGCGGGACGGGAGCGGAGGAGGGCAGGGACGGAAGGCGGAGGAGCGAGGGACGCGAGCGCGGGGGAGGGAAGACGGGAGGAGCGAAGGAAAGACAGGAAGGGGGAGGGAAGACCGGGAGCGGAGGGAGGAGGGGACGGGGAGCGAGAGGAGAAAGGGACGGGACGAGGGAGGACGCGAACGAAGCGGAGGGCAAGGGAAGGAGGGAGCGGAGCGGGAGGGACGGGACGGGAGGCTGAGGCGAGTAAAGTGGGACGGAGCGGAGGGAGAGGGACGGAAAAGCGGAGGGAGGAGGGACGGTGAGCGGGGAGGAGAGACGAGCGGAGGGAGGAAGGACAGAGCGGAGTGGGAGCAGAAATGGGGGACGGGAGCGTGACGGGAGGGAGGACGGAAGGTGGGATAGAGGGAGGGACGGGGAAGCGCGGGGAGGGACGGGACGGGGAGCGCAGGAGGAAGGATGAATCGGGAGGGAAACGGGAAGCGGAGGGCGAGGGAGGGACGGGGCGGAGGAAGGGAGGTACGGGAGCGCGGGGGAGGCGAGGGAACGGCCGTCGAGAGCGCGGGGGAAGGAAGGGAAACGAGCGCAAGGAGGAAGATGGGAGCTCAGGGGGAGGAAGGGGATGGGAAGCTGAGGGAGGAGGACGAGCGGAGGGAAGAATGGACGGAGCCTGAGGAGGGAGACGGAAGCGGAGGGGGGAGTGACGGTAATGCGCAGGAGGTAAGGATGGGAGCCTCGGGGGGAGCGGGACGGGTAGCAGAGGAGCGGAAGGGGACGGGGCGTAGGAGTGGAGGGAGGGAGCGGAGAGAGGAGGGGACGGTCGAGCGAGGGGAAGGAGGGGGACGCGGAGCGGCAGGCGAGAAGGGAGGGGACGCCAGGAGGGAGCGGGAGCGGGGACGAGGAGGACGGCGGCGGAGGCTGAAAAGAGGGACGGTGGAGCGGAGGGAGAGAAAGGACGGGAAGCGGTGGTAAAGGGAGAGGAAGGAAGAGAGGAAGGGAGGGAGAGCGAGGGAGGGAGGACGGGAGCGGAGGGGGGATGGACGGGAGCGAGGGAGGAGGACGGGAGCGGCGAGGGGAGGAAGGAACGGAGCGGGGGAGGGAGGGGGGAGCAGAGGAGAGAGAACGGAAGTGGAGACGAGCGAGTGAACACGTTGCGCAGGGAGGGAGGGACGGACGAGCGGGAGGGACAGGAGTGCGGGGGAGATAACACAGACATTGACCGTCGCCACGGTTACGCGTCGTCACGTCGGCAGCCTGCCGCGCATTCGCTCCCTCCGTCGCGGCTGCGTCGCTTGCGAAGCATGCTCAGATGATTAATTTAGACGACGGTTTTTTTTTTAGAAATTCAAACGGTAGTGACACGGCATACGCGTATCCGAACGTAGATAGAATAATACACGGATTTGCACTGCGTAAACACCAGACGATTATTAACGCGCTGCATTCCAAATCCGAATCTACACAACTCGCGATTAATAACAACACCGGTCTGTTGCTCTCACAAACACCCGGGCAGGATATGAAATAGCAATCCACGCAGACGAACCAAACAAAGAGCACAGATAAGTCACGTACGAGAGTGTTACACGGGTGCAGAGAAGAGATACATCAGTGTGTCACACAGGTTCACAGGTATGATGGCACACCGGTTAGGTTAGGTGCACGAACGAGTCACACTTTCAAGTGGTGGCAAATTCACACCCACGGTTACCACAAACCCCACAATTCTTTCACATATCTGCCCCACTATTTGTGTTCTGGGCAACTGACCATCAGCAGTTATCCATTAACTACTACTAACCACGTAATAGTATCTAAGTTGGTCTGTGGGACCCTCCCCCCACCCCACCCACTCCATCCCACTATCTCTCTATGGTCTTGTGGCCCGTCGTCAGAAACATCGTAACGTTTAGGCTATCGTTAAAACTAAGGTTGTTATTAACGATGGGCCGCTGGCGTACACGGACGTGATCGCGCGGCAACGACCGGCGGGCATGCGACCGAGCAGAGCACGAGGTGAGCGTGCGAAGGTGACTCGTGCGGGCGAAGGGGGGGGGGGACTCTCACCTGGATCCTCGTATAGTTCTTCGTCCGGCGGCTGCGTGGGGTCGTCTCTGATGGCCTCATACATCGGCTGATCCTCGTCGGACGTCGCCTCGGTCGGTTCGCCGCGCTGCAACACCGCAGCAGCGACGCAGCGTTACGAACGATCGTCGATAGCGTTAGACGCACGCACGCACGCACGCACGCACGCACACGGGCATGCACGGATTAAATACACGAACCGCGAGCATGCATTGATCCATGCACGTACAGACGCACACGTATCCTCCCACCGCACGCACGCGCGCGTATGCACTCACACGTGCACGGATCTATACACGCACCGTGCGCATGCATGGATCGCCCAGTCACACCGCACGCACGCACGCACGCACGCACGCACGCACGCACGCACAGTCATGCATAAATCTATGCATGCAAACATTCATGCGTGCATGGAAGGATGCATTTACCACACGTACGCACGCACGCGCATGGAAGCCACCAGGCACAATCACACACTCCAGAACTTCACATAGCGTGCGTGATAACTTTGCAGGTATAACTAGGATGCTGAGCTTACACACAGCAACGAGCCATCAAACCTTCACTCGTCATAAACAGCGCGACGACATGAGCCTGGTAAATAGATAGTGAATTATTGAAAAGATCCAGCAAAGCCTGAAGATTTTCCAGTGCGTCTACGCGTAGGTGGAACGTGTGCTTTCTAGCAAACTATTCTTTTCGGCTCTCCTAATGTTGCTGTCATCAAGTCAGACCACTTTTTATGCATCGTTATAGGGTGCATGCACAGTGCATGCTGACATAGCGGATACCGCGGGCGACGTGAAATAAACGTAAGCCTCAAGCTAATAGATGCTAAAAATGTTTTGAAATATTGATGTTCTGTGACACATTATAAGCATGAATGATGCAGATTGGAGAAGAAGCTGTGGGGTTTTGCGTGCAAAATCATCGAAATCGTTATTCACATCGAAACAACCAATGCGGTAAAAATGACAACAATGAGCATAAAGCCTCTCGGTTGGAAAAGCTGATATTAAAGTAAAAAACCGCATGAACAAGGTTTTATGAGCGGCTCAACCTATACACGAATATGAGGAATTCACTGCCACAATGTATGGGAGAGAAAACCAACATTAGTGAAAGTAATAGGAGAGGAGCAACGATTTAGGACTTCAACATTAGATTGAGTCAGTTCACAGAGTAATGCCACGATTTAAAGCAGTTAGGAGCCGATATTCATGATTTTTCCTGACCTATACAATGGTATGCAACAATATTTCACAATTTGCTAACTTATATGAAAGGATAATGCACTCATAAGCATAATAATAACAATGGTAGCTTTTCTAGCGCCTGCGTCTGTAATCTAAAAATAATTACATTTGGTAACAGCTTAAATTTCTAGTTTAAATAAACTAATAAAATGGTAATATTTTATCACTACGAGCGCTTAATACCCAATAAATTAGGTTATTAGGCTCATGAAGGTCCATTCAAACAAAACGATTGTCTGTACTGACTAAGGCCATAGTCAAGCATCCTTGTGTGAGTGCACGCGTGCGTGAATTCGCGCATGTACGTGTAATTCGCGATAAGGTACTCACTGATTGGTACTGCTGCTCCAGATGCTGCTGCTGCACCAGTGCCTCTTCCTCCTCCTTCTTCTTCAGAAGTTGTCTTTCCTCTTGTTCCTTTTCTCTATGTTTCCTTAATTCTTCTTCCTCTGCCCTCATCCCCTCCTCAGCCTCCTTCTGCTTTTGCTTATATTCATCTTCTTGTTTCCTTCTCTCGCGCTCCTGCTCCTCCTCCTCTTGTTTTTTGCGGTTATCATCTTCTCGTTGCTGCTTAATTCTATCTTCTTCTTCTTCTCGTTTCCTCTGCCTATCCTCCTCCTCTTGCCTTCTTGTCTTATCTTCCTCTTCCTCTCGTTTTCTCTGCCTATCCTCTTCCTCTTGCCCGACCCTTTCCTTCTCCCTCTTCTCCTGCTGTGATTTCTCATCTGCTTCCTTCTGAGCTTGTGCTCTTCTCTCTGCTTCGTGCCTGTGAGCCTCTTCCTCTTCCTTTCTTTCTTGACTCAGTTTTTCTTGTCTTCTCTGGAGAAAAAAAAACAGCATCGAGATGACTAGTACTGGCCACCATCTTAATCAAGCTGGGAAACAAGCACAACTTGCTACAAGCCAAGCAAGCAAGGCATACTCCACAATGCCACATGTGCTTTAACAAGTTTTCATACAACTAGTATATTATAGAACACCTATATAACGATATCTGTATCTATCTATCTATCTACCTATCTATCTGTCTCTCTCTCTCTCTCAATATATATATAGATATATATATATATATAATCTCTATTGTGTGCTCTCGATATATATATATATATATATCACAATGCTGATTTGCAAGTGATGATTTAGAGCGCATTATTGCATTTCAATGGCTTGCGAGATAAAATTTGTGGCCTGATATAGTCATTAGCAGCAGAAAACTATTTTGAAGTTTGAGTGCTAAACAGTTAAGGGCCAACAACACAGAAACAGAATGGAACAAAAGCTACATCACCAACGACTATAACGAGCCGCAACTAGAACCTCGTGTCGACAAAAAGCACCGATTGAAGCAAAATTTTATCTAGTTAATTATCAATTTTGCTTCAATCGGTGCTTTTTGTCGACACGAGGTTCTAGTTGCGGCTCGTTATAGTCGTTAGTGATGTAGCTTTTGTTCCACTCTGTTTCTGTGTTGTTGGCCCTTAACTGTTTAGCACTCAAACTTCAAAATAGTTTTCTGCTGCTAATGACTATATCAGGCCACAAATTTTATCTCGCAAGCCACTGAAATACAATAATGCGCTGTAAATCATTATGAACGACAACTCCAGGCTATACTCGCAGCGACTTATTGCGTCACGACACGATGTATCACAGAGGGCTTCAACAAAATTAAAGCATTACTTCGATAAATTTAAATCGAGTCATGCGGTTATACTACAGCTGAGACAGGGAGTAATCATCATCGGAAGCAGCATGCTGATGGGTGGGAGGGGGGGTGATAACGATTCATCCACAGCTAGTTATCTAAGGGAAAAATTATTTTGCTTCACAATTACCGTCTACACTTGCGGCATCGCATGGCGGGGAATGCCAGTGAATGACGGTGGCGCTAGAGAAACTTTTCAAATCGTGCTGACACGATTGCCTCAACTTACCTCCTCTTTACGTTTTTCCTCCTCGGACTCGCGCTTGTCGCGCTCGCTGCGTCTCCTTTGTTCCTCCTCTAAGCGCTTCTTCGAATCCTATTAAAGGCCAGTCAGCGAGGGTTTTAATTTCATATTCATTCAGCACAGACCTTCCGACGAGACGGATTTATGTTGCGCATGTTCGAAGAACAGCAAAATTCTCCCACCGGACAACTGCCGCCTCACTATTTCAACACGTGTTAAGACACGTCTACGGTTCAACAGTTCTCGCAAAATTTTCCATGGCTGTAAATTAGACGGCCAATTAAAAATTACCGTTAACGCCTCCGCAATAGATAACGCGACGTAAATATGCTAATCGCGGCGCGACGCAACAAACCTCTTCCTCCTGCTTGGACATCTGTTCGAATTTGGCACGAAGGTTGCTGGCTTTCTGCTCTGAAGGCACGTCCGCTCTGGTTTTCTCGTAGCTTGGTGACAGTGGCTCGACGTTGTCATATCCATGTGCAGCCTACACATATAATCATAGTCCCGCTAGTCAATTACCACTTGTAGAACAAGTGCCGCAGAGCGACAGGGCTCATCTGGTGTCTGGTGTTCTGCTGATAAATTTATTTGTGCATAGCAAGACGTCCTATACATACGTTCATTTCTAACCCAAAAAACAACACTTCAAACTAGTGTAATAAAATTCCAATAGATGGCGGGCCACTATCAAAGGCATCGTTGCATCGGTCAGCAAAAGCATTGCAGCAATGGCAGCTGTCAGTGTGACGACGAATTGCAAAAAGCAGGAGCGAATAATTACCATATTATTACTATACATAACGTGCGTTCTATGGTGTCAGGTAATAAGGTACATTAAACCCCTTGCGAGGCACATCTGGCTCGTTAAAAATAGCTCAATGGTTGATACAGCCAGAGGCAGAGCAGCTCGTGCAAGATTACAATTTACAGCAATACGATAGCAAATATCTCTAAACTAATTTCAGTACAAGGTAGGCCAGTGATTAGTGGACCGAATAAGCTCAAGAACGTACACACTTGCGTCTATATTGGTGCCAAAATTTGATGAGAAAATTAACTCTGGGAAATCCGCAGCCTCACTCCTGGGTAATTATTTGAGTGCTAGTGAGTAGTGACTGTATTCCAACTATTCATAATGTACACTACAGAATCTTATATATAAGTCATGTCATTATCTCCTAAGTAAGCGTTGTTCAAGTAAGAGTTATGTGTGGAATTTCACTGTAAAATGGGAGCTTTCCACACCCACAGGTACTCGCCAATGCAGTTGAGAGAAACAAATCCATGTTTAACCCTCCTCTTGAGGGTCAAAAGGTTATCCGAGACTTACTCTTCGCATGTCAGCGGAAAGTACATTTCATGGTCCTTTCAATAAAGCCATAAAAATGCTAGGTCACCGCTGAAACAAAAAAGTTTTTCGAAAATCGCTCCGTCAGACCATGTCCTCAGAAAATGTCTAAAATCTGCCTGCTGCCCATATGACCTTGCACTGTGACCTCCAATTTCAGCACAGTGATGGTTTTTCCTACCATGATGCTATACACTTATACTCACAAGCCTAGGTCGAGCCGTTTAGATTTGTGCCGCAATTCTGCATTTCCTCCCTATACCTTAAGTTAAGGAGTGAATGTTCCCCCTTCTTTTACACCTCTTGACCTTTGACCTTCACCCCCAGCTTCGACATCCCAACTCGTTTTGACGATCCCCCCCGATGTGCCGAATATCGTGACCGTACGTCGAGCGGTTAAGATTTGTGCCCAACTGTTGACGCACGGACGGACGGTCGGTCGGACGGACGGACGGACGGACGATCATGCGATTCTACAAGCTGCATCTGACTACGTCAGTTGAGCTAAAAACGAGAACTTTACTTATATTTACTTTTATTTTGTACATAGCACGTATGTGTAGGTATGCATGTATAATATATATATATATATATATATATATATATATATATATAAATTTTGTGTAATACAGCAGAACCCGCCATAACGTGGGCCACCATAATGTGAGTATGGGTATTCATGATTCGGGATTATCAATCACTTGGCTCTCTTTTCTCCTTTTTTCGTTCATTCTTTTACATTATTTCATATGTATTTTTAACTAAATAACAGTGTTTATCTATTCTATGCAAGTGTAATTTTTAAAACCTTTGCATGTATGTAAATTATGTTTGTTTGTTTTTGTTTCAATGAAATAATTAAACCTAAAATTACACCATACGTGGGTGTATGTTGGTCGGAACGGGGCGATAACAGCATGAAAATCATTGGTTTATTCACAAACTTCCCATTCACTAACAGGAAATGTAATCATTCAACTATCCCGCTATAATGTATCCCTAATATTTTAGAGAAATTATCACATATAATGGGGTTCTGCTGTATTCATTAAACCTATTACTTTATTGCTATTCTTCACTTACCATGCTGTCACATCTCAAATTTCCGTTCTACAATCAATCTGTTGCTACGACGTCGTAGAGATTCGCACGTAGCAATCACCCTTCGTGCGTCGCATCAACAAACAAACGCCCCCGTCGAACACTGCTCACGGCACCTTGTCACCCCCACCTCCTCTTCTCGGATCGCAAGACGCATTACCTTATCCTTCTGCTCGTCCACGCCGAATTTTCCACCGAAGCCCTTCTTGTGGTCAACCTGTGACGGGTGGGCGTCGACTTTGGTCACGTCATCCCAGCCGGCGGCCGACTTGTCGACGCGGTCCTTCTGTACTCCGTACTTGCCTCCGAATCCCTGCGCGTAATCTGCAAGCACAGCACAACACAGGGTGAGAGCGCCTGCGTGTGCGACGTGTGAGGGAGACACTCTGACTGGTCATGCGTGGGATGGTATATGGCTGATTCGGTGTACAATCATTGATGAGTGAATCACACACAACACATTGTTCTCTTAAAAGAGGGTGGGTAAGGGTATTTTCGTGAAACGTGATCGGCTGTTTTTATACCTCGTGAACTGTGAATTGCAATTTATTTTGTCTGTGAACTGTGAATGGACCACCTTGCGCGAAGTGTGATTTAGCTTTTATTTAGTCTGTGAACTGTGAATAAAAGGTTTCTTTCCTCGTGAATCTATGCATGTCAGGCGCGGATTTAGGACGGTTTGCACCGGTTTCCAGAAACCGGTCACAGGCCTCAAAATTCACCAGAATGCACCAAATATAGCCTAATTTGTAAAAAATTCCCGGGGGGGGGGCATGCCCCTGCCCCCCCTAGCTGCATGAGAACATATGGAAACTATATATATATATATATATATACACACACACACACGCACGCACGCACGCACGCACGCACGCACGCACGCACGCACGCACGCACGCACGCACGCACGCAC